CCCGTGTGTCTGTCTGTCTGTGTGGTTTTATCGTACCGAAACTAGTAGACCGATTACTTAGAAATTTTAGGTGTAGTTTAAGATTATCGTGAACGTGGTGATACGCTAAACACAATTTGTCTATTTAAAATATATATATCTAAAGCTTCAACCCTTGTGTTGTGCATCGGCTTAAGATGAACTTCAGGAAAATCGAGACAAATTTTATGTGCTGTAGAATAACGCTTGTTTCCCGTTTATGGGCACGAATTTTATTGATACGAACTCTCACATATACATTTTATTATTTCACATAACACTCGTTTACGTCGAAATGGCACTAATATTTTTAGTTTATCGGAAAAATTCGACTCTAGCAAATGCGATCAAAAAATTGGTCTAAATTAAACTAAACTTAGCTAAATATATTGTATAAACTGTTTTTTATGATGAGTTATATAGAAAAATAAAAAATATGGGTGGATCAATAAAGCACACTTATACATATACACTTATCCAGAGTGTTATGTTTTTAAGGTGTAACACGCAACTTGGTTTTGTCAAATATTTATATACAAATACAGGATGTTTCTTTTATTGGATACAACCCCTGTAACTTTTTTTATTCTTAAAGATAAACCTGTAGTTCTTGGAGCAAATTTGTATAATTTTTAAAGATCTATGTGATGGCAACTTCACATTTTTATTATCACTTCCGGCAGAACCGGAAATGACGTCAACTTTATCTTTGTTTATGGAACACTAGGTATATTTTTTCATAAATGGAACTATTGATTTTTTCTGAAAAATCAAATGCGACCAATATTCTAAAATTAATATTTAAAAAATTATTCAATAAAATAGACGAAAAAGTCATATTTATTTTATAAATTCTACAGCAAAAAATCGCTATAGGGTTATTTTTAAAATCTGGGTCACAATATTTTGTGGAGACATAAATAAAGATACACGCTTTATGTGGTATAAACAAAATTGGGTTTTAATATACAGAGTGTTCATAAAAAAAAACAAAAGAAGACCAATGTCTTCTTACTCTAGGGGTCATGAAATGTCGAGAAAACGTAAAAGTAGAGACTCGGCCGACGGTCTCGATTACAATACCTCCTTCGCTTACGCTCAGAAAGTAAAAATCAATCAACGGTAAAATTTTAAATTGAAAAATCGAAAAATTTCAAATCTAAAAGTTCGAAAGTTGAAAATTAAAAGATTGATGAAAATTAAAAAAAAAACGTATTTTGAAAAATTGAACAAAAGAAATATTGAAAAATCGGACACTAAAAAATGGATAATCTGAAAAATTGAAACATCGAAAAATTTAGGAACGTAAAATCAAAAATATTTAAATCGAAAATTGAACAATCGAAAAATTAAAAATCTAGATGCTGGGAAAAACTGTAAAATCGAAAAATTGCAAATCGAAAAATTAAAATTGAAAACTCAAAAAAATGCATTTTGAAAAACTGAAGAAAGGAAACATTGAAAAATCGGACAATTAAAAATGGATATTTGAAAAATTGAAAAGTGGAGAATTAAAATATGTAGAAATTGAAAAACTGTAACATCCAAAAATTGAAAAAACTAAAAACGGTAAAATAGGAAAACTAAAAATGGCAAAATAAGAAAACTACAAATCGACATGCTGAAATTCGAAAAACTGTGACATCGAAAAATTAAAAATAGAAAACACATAAAGTGAATATCGAAACATTGAAGAAAGGAAAAATTGAAAAATCGTCCAATTAAAATGGGCACTCAAAACTTGAAAATACGAGAAATTAGAATTTTTAAAAATTCAAAAAATGTTAAATCGAAAAGTTGAAGAAATGGAAAATTGAAAAATTCAAAACTTCAAAAGTTAAAAAGTGGAAAAATTGAAAATCGAGAGGTTTGTAAAATGAAAAATAGTAAAATTGCAAATCGAAAAATTGAAGAAAAGAAAAACTGAGAAATCGAAAAAATACAAATCGAAAAATTTTAAAAAATGTTTTACCCCCTACCAACAAATTGATCTTAAAATTTTGCCGAGTAAATCCGATCTAAAACCAATAAAATATTATGACCACGCTAGAATAACTCACCCCATTTTTTTTTTAATTTTATGACTTTATCTTAACTTTTTTAATAAAACCTGAACGTGCTCGCTGCGCTCGCATTCTAAACGTTCTTTTCTAAAGTTTAGTCTCAGAAATTTTAAAGAAAGAGTCTTAGCGAATTTGTTTGGATTCAGTTGCGATAAAAAATCTCCAGATTTATTTATAAACTAAATTGTTAATAAAAAGTGTGTTTGTTTTATTATAATACATAATCCAATAGACGCTCTTGTGAAGCTAAATTATTCCGAAAAAATAAACTTCGATAGTGCAAGCGCAGTGAGCACATGTAAGTTGGCGAAGTCTCGATTTTTTTTAATTATGTTATTATAAAAAAATTAAAAAATGATAAAAATTATCCAAAGAGATCTGACCTAACCCAACCCGACCTGACCGACCATGACCGGACAAGCACTAGTAAGGTGTGAAGGAAGTATTATATAAATTCTTTTGATCGATTTTTTTCTAAAGATCTAGATGCCGAAAATACAAATAAGGTCGCAAGGTCGGATTAATAAACCACAAGTACGAAACCCAAAATCTTATATTATCTTAGCAATAAGTAGGTATAGCATCAAAAAAATTTAAACTAATAAAACAGTTACCACTTTTTTTTCAACAACCTAGACGAATTAAAAGAATTAAGAACTGAATAAGTAAAAATCAACAGCTGTTAAGCTAAAAAAACTCACAACAGTTATTTTTTACTTTGAATCAAACTCATATTTTGCAGCGCCAAATTTCAGCATTTATTCCAATATCTGGTCTCTGGTAAGTCCGAAGTTCGTGAAGATGTTTCATATTTATCTCACCTTCCCTTCTTGTCATGTTGAGATCATGTGAACCTCCAGCTGTACCCAAATAGCGTGCTTTCACTACCCTGACGTGTATAGGTGCACAACAGCATCCGACCAAGTATTAATCTATTACAAATTACGTCATTACAGGCAGTGATCAGGAAGTTATATATGAGAGCTGCGCCCCCGGTCGCTTTGCCGTCCCCGCATCTGCCGGTTCCCATTGAGTCACCTACGTTTGTTCCGGATTAGTGTGATGGAGATCATTCACATAAGATGGCTTTATGTTCCGACACTTAAATAATATTTTCTGTGCTACCTTTCGTCTACACCTCCTGGAGAATCGTGATTCTTTTATTTGACTTAACAAAAACCACGTATTAGTACGACGACAGTTTTAATGTCGTTGATAAAAATAATGAAGATCAAAAGACCGAAAACTGACCCTTGCGCAACAGTTTCTCACACGGATTTAACGTTTTTTTTTTTTTTTTCAATTTGACCTACAGAAAACACCAGTGCCACTTGAAGTTAGTGCCATTGTTGCTCATTTAAAAGAGCAGTTGAAGAGCTTCACAGCTGAAATGAAATCATGGCAGGAATACAATAGGAAGCGGGCTTAAGCTGGCGACACGCGAAGCGTTAAAGAACACGCGACCTCTCGAGAGGAGATTTGTAATTTATTAAATAGTGTTAGTCGCTGGCTTTAAACGAGAGAGATTTCAGGCTGGGAACTTATTGTTGGATCGGTTAGTGTGAGCTCGGAACGTGCTTTTATCTCTACGAGGGTGGCTTTTTCCGTTTGGTCTCCATGTTTTTCTAAATGAATAAGAGAGCCGCGAGAATAATAACACCGACGCTCGAATAATGACAACGAAAACAGTGGCTTGGAAAACAACCAGTTAATTCTTTCCTTTTTTAGGAACTTGATCAATTTAATGCAGTTACTATGCGCTGTTTGATCGAATTTTCATATTTACTTAATATTTAATGAATTTATAAAAATCAGTGTTATGAGTATGACAAGAATCACAAAAATCAAACAAAACAAATATTGAATGTTGTGGCGGCCTCTATTGACAGTTGACAGTACTATCATCGATTATTTTGCACACATACAGGAACCCGTTTAACAGGTAAGTAATTACTAAATATTATAAATAATGATTTATATTTTTAGTATTTCATTAATTAAGGTAGTGACGTAGCAATATAACACAGAAACGGAATTACTAAGAACTCATAATTGATAAGATGGTCGTTGATTCGCTATTAAAGTCTCTCCAATCCCTTAAAAGAGGGCGCTTTCATCGAGAGGGAAAGGAATCTGTAGTGCCGGCTGAATGAGTATTTTTCGGACATTTTGGTAAATATATCAAACTTTTTGGCTTGGTCATAAAACGAAGTATAGGTTGTTTATTTTCCCTTTTGGCACGTGGTATGATTGTAACAGTCGTCTGCCTTGATTTATTTAAAATCTGTCGAATCAATTAAAAAAACAGGTTTTACAAGCATCTACTACAAGGCTGGAAATTTTGACAAAGTCATGTTCTTGAAAGACAATTTATACCTATAGGAATATTATAGACGTCTCTAGCAACAAATGATAACCTAGTGACTTTAATGATAACAATGACTACTGTGATAATGACAACTACAACCTTGAATAAAAAAAAAGAAACTTTTATTTTTAAAAATGGCGGTCAATTCAATAGCAGTTAGTACCAACCAACTGAAAAAGATAGTAATATTTGTCAGCACTCAAATTTAAGGTGGCAACATTTTTTTTTAAATTAAGCACCACATTCAATAGGTGGATTTCGTTGCACCAAATTTAAAATGTGGGGAAATCATAAGGTTAGTTAATATTAAAGGACTTTGGTAAAGTGGGTGCACCATCAGAGGCGTCCGTCATCGTTTCTGTTGTTTGCGATTTAAAAAAATTAATTAAAAAAACCACCCCCTTCGAAGTGTGCATGTTACGCTACTGACTGACAGTCCGTTGTCAGATTCTGATAACTCACCATGTTGAAATTAAAACAATCCATCTCTACTACAGCAAACGGTCCATTCTGTTTAAATAATTAAATAAAACTAAAATAAAAGGCACAAACACCGTTGAACAGATCCGTTTATTTTTGTGGAATGAAGTCTAATAATAATGAATGCAAATACACACAAAACATTATTAACATAAGTATTTGCTAATTTACATATAAAACAATAATAATAAAAATAATTTAAAATCCGTGTTGGTATTGTTTAGAATCCATTCGATTCTGAATTATTTCAAGTTGACGTTTGGCTTCACATTGTGGGAAATTTTGCAAATCATAATACTGTGGTGCTATTTTTAAAAGCCAGTCAGCTGCAACAAAAAGACAATGTTAACATGGATTCCATAATCTACATCTAGATATTCTATGTAAGAGTTATAAACAGGTTTGCATCAACGCTTACGTTTAATATCCGTGACGGTTCTAATGTAGTTCTTTGTAGTCAACACAAACTCATTGTAAATAACCCACTCTGGTTTGTGATCCAAACATGTGGACGGGTGAAGTTGAACATTTTGGTTATCTTTAATGGTGAGATAGTGGCCGGTTCTTTCCAAGTGAGCCACCTTAAATAGAATACACACATAGTTTCCAATGTGCTTCTTCTCCCATCATGTACCAACTTACCTGCATGAAAAATCCGTTAACTAACGCCTTCCTAATATTAATATAGTAATCCTTGCTTGTGAAATCCGTCGAAGTTCTCTTCAAATTAAACCGGTCCATAATTCTTGACAACTGTTGTCTGACGTTATCAGCGGATTTCAGTGAACGGTAATTGACAAAGTTATCATAGCACCATTGAGGATCTTCCATGCCTTCAGAAAAAATTTGTCAGTGGTGTATAATTTTCATTAAAATTAAGGAATGTCCAAATTGATGAGATTTTCTGTCGCGGTGGGAAAACTTTTTTTGTACTTACTTTGTTTAAAAGCGTGGTATACATTGAGCAGCGTCAAATGGTCCCCGTCAATATGAGCGAACCTCATCTTGGCATCGTCGGCGGCCTTCTTCGCCTCATTCGGTCTGATGAAGCACTGTGGGACTAAACATTGGAGCAGGGCAGTTGCCCGTATCCAACCAATATAGTTGCGCTCTCAAGCGTTTCCTACAGAGCTACCTCAGTCAGAACGATTCGAGCAAAACACACCAGAACATTTGTGGTGTTCTGTTCAGTGTCTGTTTTGAAATTGTTTTAACCACACTGTTTTGCTCAAAAGTCGTTCCAGACAACACAAACCGTGGTGGCAACAGACCATATAAACAGGTAGCACAGTTACAAATAACAGCGGTGCAGGAAAAAGAGAAACTTGATCGATGTTGAACAAAGTATACAGAATGAATAATCTGGGATCTGAGAACTGAATTCTTTCTACCTCTCAGAAAAAGTTTCGACATTCATACGCTCAATGTACGAGGTTTTACAGAATTTTGAAAGGAATTCATTCAACGAAGGGGCAGATACAGTGTAGTAGCTATAACTCTGGTAATTCTGGCAAAAACTAACATAAACAAGTGGCTAGACAAAAATAATGCTGCAAGCTATGTTACGCATAAAATGTATGTTCACTTGGCACCACTTTTGAGTATATAACAAATGTATGCTCTCTAGTAGCTCTTCCCGTATTAAGTATTGCTACTTTGTGTTAAACACCTACAATAATGGAACCACCTCTGAACTATTGTGATGTTCTTTCTTCGGTAAACCCGGAAAAATAATTTCTCCCGTTACAAATTTTTTGAGTTATTTGAATTTCAGGTCTCATATTCCGATCACAAAGTGAAATTTACGAAAGTCAAGTCAAAGTTCGAGAATAACAACAATCAAGAACTTTCCTTCAAACCAAAAAAAAAAAAAAAATCAAAATAAATACCTGACAACATCGCCGTTATGGACAAAATTTCATTCGAACAATTGTGGTTGCAGCTGGCGATGAGCATTTTCGCGAGCTGCGGATCGAGCGGAAACTCGGCCATGACCGCTCCCAAGTCCGTTAGATTCCCGTCGTCATCCAAGGCGGCTAAATAATTCAACAACTCCAACGCCCTCATCAAGGTCTCTGGCGCCGGAGGATCCATAAAATCAAAATGAACTAAATCATCAATCCCCAATTTCTTCAACTGCAACACAACAGATCCCAGATTCGATCTCAAAATTTCCGGGTACGTGTTATCCTGCATCTCGTTTTTGTACGCCTTTTCCGTGTACAGCCTGAAACACTTTCCCGGTTTGGTTCTTCCGGCTCTTCCGGCGCGCTGTTGCGCAGACGCTTTACTGATCGGAGACACCAACAAAGACTCCACTCGAATCCTTGGGTTGTACACCTTTTGCTTCGCGAAACCCGGGTCTATCACAAACACAACACCGTCTATAGTTAGAGACGTTTCTGCTATGTTGGTAGAAACTACAACTTTGCGTCCTATCGCACCGTTTGCTTTGTTTGGGGGCGGCTCTTCGAAAATCCTCTGTTGGAGATTCGGCGGTAGTGTTGAATATAAGGGAATGCATTTCAATTCCCCGACTTCCGGCCCCAAATTATCTATTTCTCGTTTGATTCTCTTGCAGGCGACTTCGATCTCTTCTTGTCCAGTAAGAAAAAGGAGGATGTCGCCGGCTATTTCTTCGCACATGTGGATCTGGATGACGGTTCGAATGGCGGCTTCGAGATAATCGCGTTCGGGCTCTGGGGTGTAGAAGATTTCTACGGGATGGGTGCGCCCGGGGACGTTCATTAGCGGAGCGTTGTCGAAATACTGTTGGAACTTTCCCGCGTCTAAAGTAGCCGACATAATAACTAATTTCAAATCAGAACGTTGTTTAATTACTTCTTTTAGAACGCCCATGAGAATGTCGGTGGCGAGCGTGCGCTCGTGAGCTTCGTCGAGCAAAATGCACTGATAAGCGTCCAGCATCGGGTCGCTCATGCCTTCGCGGAGCAACATACCGTCGGTCATGTACCTAGAAACGTTGATACGTACAAAGAACGTTGTAAAATTACTACACAATTTATACGAGGTAGTTGCAACTTGTGATCGATAAAGAGAAATACAAATTTTATTCTATACGAACAACTTGGTCAGAATTTCTTTCCCATGATTGTTCTCAATTTTGAAAAATCTCATTTCGTGTATTCTCTTTATTAATTAGGTTTTCAACAGGGCGAGGCCCAATTACAAAAAACCGGTATTAGACGTTTGCTCAAAAAAACGGTCCAAGGTTATTTCGACAGAACTTCCCTCTCCCGTGAAATACAATAAAACATATCCAGCTTTTTAGAAAAATTACAAAATTTGATTTTGCGCATTTAATTTGTTATGAGAGGGCGAAGGCAGACAGACGGGAACGAGAAACCTATGTTTTCGTATTCTATGGGTTATCAAACGTAAAGAAAACATAAAAGTAGCGATTCGGCCGATGGACTTGATTGCAAGGGAAGTAAAAACATCGACAACAGCATTTGGTACCGACATCTTTCAATCAAATTTCAACCCCCAATCTCAGCTTTACTATTTTACTGTATGCATACAATATATATAAATATTTACAGCAATACATATGTACAAATACAAGATTTAACATTGTATAAGCGCGTTTGGGATTTAAGAACACTAATAAGATTAACCACTATATTTTTATGCATGACATGTGAAAGTAATTTAATACATACAGAAAATAAGTAAAAAGTAAATTTTTTATATCATTTTGAAAATTATTTGAATAAGAAAAAAAATTTTGGCCTGAAATTTTTACCTTGCCTTAAGCCTGCATCGGTCAACTTTAACGAAAATTGAAATATCAAATAAAATAAACATTAAATTTTTTCAATCACACTTGGCATTTGTTTTTTTTTTAACTCAAAACAATTTTTTGATGACACTGCTGTATGTTTAAACAACTGATTTAAGCAACTCACTTGAGAATAGTCTTAGCTGAGGAACAATCCTCAAATCTAATACTATAACCCACTTCCTGCCCCAAGGCGACGTCCATTTCTTCTGATACTCTCTGCGCCACCGACATAGCAGCTACTCTCCTCGGCTGGGTACAACAGACCCCCTTTTTGCCCACCGATCTGGAAAACTCGACGCACCATTGCGGGATTTGCGTGGTCTTTCCCGAACCCGTTTCGCCGACCAGCACGATGCACTGGTTTTCGGCAAGCAGCCGCATGAAATCGTTGCGATACTCAAAAACAGGAAGCGTGATACGTTTACGATATAATTCGTGGTATTTATTGGTGTAGGGTAAGCCAGTGTATGGATTAATCGAAGAATTTGTTACTTGTGGTGTCGTATAAGTAACCGCCGTGCTTATTCCACGTTCTTCGCTGCAATAACAACAATAAGAAAATGTGATTGACATTAATGCTGCGTGTTGGACTTACCGTTTCTTTTTTATAAAAGGATCCAGTACTTCGATTCGTCGTTTCGACATTGTGGGGAAATTCTAAGCCTAATGGAGCACTAAAGACGTCAATGTGATATTTTTGTGAAATAAATAAATGTTGTTTAGAAAAAACTATTCACAAGCACGACTCCATGCAAGTTTACACGGTCGATAATGCAGGACGCGCTGTTGCTGATTATTGACATGATTGACATGGCAACAAGACGCGCGAACTTTAAAACTGGATGTACTGTTGGTTGCAGCTCTTCAATATTTAATTATTATTCATCATCCAAAAAAATTATGACATCATTTCAAAGTTTTATCTAATCAATCCTACCTATAAAATAAAAATAGTAAGAGTTTATAGTTGTGGCTTATCAATGCATTCATATCTTTTACAATTGCTTATGTAAGGTGACTCAAAATAAACAATGGCTGAGGCAATGTATTTTATTGAGCATATCAAGAATGGCTCACCCCATTTTCGCAAAAATTAAGTATACAATACTATTATCATTATTAGTATTACATTGCACCTATTCAAATTGATATTGATGACGTCATCACAGATTTATGTTTTGAAAAAACTCCATTGAAAGATACGCACAGCATGGCTGTACTTTAACAGTTCACACATATTTTTATTTTAGCTTATGGGGGTTCTGGGGGTTATCCCAAAGGAAATGTTAAGTACTATCGTAGGAATGTCCGGAACGCTTCTAGGTTATCACCAGATTGATAGTAAATGTATCATCTCCTCAATAAGGATGCGTAATGTTGGACGATAGAGGTGGAGGTTCCCTCCCAAGAGGTGAAAGTTTCACTGTATTAAGTTTCGATTATTACATTTTATTAAATTCTTGCAGTTTAGTGTAGCACATTTTTAACATTCATTTTGATTGCATTTTCAAGAAGTAATACATCATAATAATTGTGGAAACAGACGTAATGACTTTAAATACGACCAGGCCGGGATCACGCTGGCGATGCAGCGAACGCGTAGCAACCTGCAACACATCCTGTATGGACGGCATTACATGCACCAAGAGCAGCTATAAATGCGGCACCTCCAGACGGGGCAGCTATAATAGAAATTAAATTAAAATATTTAAAACAGTATAAATGATTTAGAAGTCATACTTATCGCAGCGATGCAGAGCCCACGTGCTGCTTCACAACCTGCCAGACAAAGTGGTAGAGCCCCCAAACCAAAAATACCACAATCACTAGGTTTTATGAGAACGGCGGCTACTAGAAAAAATATTGCTAAGAATTTTGTTTGTTTCATGGCCTTTGTCCAGGCCTCATACTAAAAAGTCTGAAAATGAAACGAGAAAAACCACGATCGAGTGAGAATTCATGAAACAGCGAGTGTATATATACGTGAACTATTTTTATCTTATTTATTTTCTCGTCATCATGTGAATAGTCGGGGAAAACCTTGTTTCAACGGAGTGTTTCAAAACTTCGAATATTTCTCTGTAGACTACTCTATATGTATTACATACGTACTTTGCTTTATTTATTTCTAAATTTTACTGTTACTGGACTGCTACGCTAGTAGATATTGTGATATCCGAAGCATCTGTTAGTGTTGCATATTTACCGGTAATTTTCTTTGCCAAATTTACAGGATTTTTTGCCAGTCAACTAAACCGTAAATGCAGTCAACAGAGCTGTTCAAAGTACTCAAAAAAAGTACTTAAAGTAAATCCCGCTAATCCAATGATAAAATTTGATTTAGCGATTTTTGTTTTGTGACAATTGATAACCTCTATAAAGTAAAAACTACTGGCGTGAAGCGTAAATAACCTTTTTGAGGCCTTTGTTTGAATTTGTTAATTGTGTTTGGTCTCCGGTATTACAACTAGTTACTTGGAGCCTCCAAGTAACTAGTTACTTTGGAACGTATTCATCACGAGTGGCGTTTGAGTACGACGCTTCCACTTGTCCGCTTGGAACTTGGAACAAATGTTCCAATCTCAAGTAACAATATGTAGCGAACGGACATTCTGGACACAATAAATACTGACAACAATTAGGACGGGCACTCTACTTTCATTTTAATAAAAAAAATAATAAAATAAACAAAACTACAAATATTTTTATAGTCTTGTTTTCACAACTTTCTGTGTTAATTCCCAATCTTCTACTTATTACTAGACTGAGATTTTACAAATTTTTTCGGTTCCTATTGAAATACATGTATTCAATTAAAACTTATTTATAAACTATTTTATACCTAAGCTTTTATATCTTTTCTGATAATGAATCATTTATATCGACGGTCGCATTCTTACAAAAAAAGTATCGAATATGCAGCGTCGTTGATACCGCCCTCAAACAAAATACAACACTTGCTGATTTTGCCGATTGGTTTATGATAAAACCGCTTTGCTTTTTATTTTATCTGTTTATTTAAATATTGTTAAACCTTTACTTTTGATCTGCGTTGCATACATTTTGTTTTTCTTTTTTTTTTTTTCATAAATATTATAAAATAAATACCTATTTATAAACGTTTCCTGATATCTTTTTTTGTGTTGATAAACACACAATTATTTTAATGACTGAAAGATTATTCTCTTTTTTTTTCAGTTCCCAAGCCCTCACTATTTGCGTTTCTTGTAACGTTCCGGACAAACGTGTTTTATGATTTCGTTCCTTGAATTTCCGTCCCGTAACTCCCGTACAAATATCGTTTCAAGTTCCAAGTGGAACGCAGAGTGGAACGTGTTACTTTTGTCGCGAGGAGCGTTACACTCCGCTACTCGATGGTAGCGCTACAATGGAACGGTTCCTAAAGTAACGACCCATCTCTAACGCAGAGTGGAACGTGTTATTTTGTCGCGAGGAGCGCTACAGCCCGCTACTCGATGGTAGCGCTACAATGGAACGGTTCCTACAGTAACGACCCATCTCTACAGTACAGCAGAGGACAACCAACCACAGTTCCATATGGCTTGTGGGCACCATACTTTAAAAGACAAATAGACACAGCATTTTTTTAACATTCATTTTGAGCCGAACTTATACATCATAATAATTGTGGACACAAGCATAATGACTTTAATTAAATACGACCAAAGGCTTGGGATCAGAATGGTGATGCAGCGATCCCGTAACACAGCGGAACACATCCTGCATAGACGGCATTACATGCGGCGAGAGCAGGTAGAAATCCTGCTCCTCCAGATGGGATGCCTGTAAAAAAAACATATCAAAATAAAGGCAAATAAATTGTTTGAATTTCATACTTATCCCAGCGATGCAGCCGGCCCGTGCAGCTTCACAACCTGCCAGGCAAAGTGGTAGAGCCCCCAAACCGAAAATACCACAATCACTAGGTTTTATGAAAAAAGCGGCTACTAGAACAAATGCTACTAAGAATTGTATTAACTTCATGGCCATTATGGCATCAAACTAATAAGTAACTGTAACGATAAAAAATTAAGATGGAATGAAAATTCAAGAAATAGCCACTCTATTATATATAGTGGTGTCGCGATAATTCGAATCAATTAAAGCCGATCCGATCCGAATTATTAAATAATCCGAGTTACTAAGTATAAAAAAACACGTTAATAATGTGAAAAAAAAAGAATTATTGATTACAGTGTACGTAGTAAATTATTATATTGCATTAGATTTTAATAAAATTGTAATTTTTGTTTGGTGAACAGCATGGTGCTGGTTTATATAAGCTTCTTCTTTTAATTTTTGAAGAGTCATTTTATCTTTTAACGATACATCATTTTCTGCTGGACACTGTTTGGCAAGATTAAGAGCTTTAATGGCATCTTCCTTTTTAAATTTTACCGATTTGGTACTTGGTACTGCATCTTCTGAGTCTTCGTTTTCTTCAGGTTCTTCCTCAGCCTCAGTCTCTTTCGCATCGCCGTTTTCGTTTGCGAGATGCCATTTCTAATGTTAAAAGACGGAATGACTGCACCTCGGACGTTATTAAATGCGTACACACCAAAAATAATGTTTTGTCTGGAGCCACTTATATGTAATTCTGTGAATTCGGATTACTAAATTCAGATAAATCCGAATTATAAAATACATTGTGAGAAAATAATTTGATCCGGATTAGGGGAACATTCGGATTAACATTGATTCGGATTATCGCGACACCACTGTACTTAGTGAGGTTTAGTTTTATCTTACTTTTTTTTAGCGTCATCAAAAGTGACTGCGTCATATGTATTTATGACATTATTGCGGTTAGTGTATGATTTTGAAAATTTTAGATACAAAAACATGTTATTCCCCTGCGTAAATGTCCTTGACTTGTGCATTATTTTGAGCTGCGTGTGTTTTTGGCTTACCTATACATGTATCACGTAGTTTATTTCTGGAAAATAAAAGACTTACCGTGTTTATCCCTTGGACCTTACATATTGAATCATCTACTTTCTACTATTAGTGCATCTACATACATTTTATTTCTAGTAGACATCATTTTTCAATTTGAAAGTGTATTTCGACAGTAACTGTCGCTCCGAGCAATGTTTGAAGGGAGTTTTCAGGCTCTGTTGAAAGATTGTTAGGTAACCTGACTTAAATTCAGTCCGAAGTAATGAAACAGCAAAGTGTACACCGTATAACAATTTATTAATTAAATGTTATAACAATAGTCATAAAATTTAATTTGTTTTTAGTCAGTCAAAATATGTACTGTGTATATTGCTGATTTTGTTGGAAACAGTATAATTTCAAATAATTGTATGAGCGTTCTTCGCCTTTTTGACTTTTAAATGTAGGATGTTCGCTTTTTCAGATTCCAGTTTTAATAATTCAATAATTGTGCCCCGAATTGAAATTAATTACTGGTTTATAACACATTCATTAAGTATATTAGGTCCGATTTTACGTGTACGAATTGCCTATACCCTATCATCACTTCATTCTTACATTTAAATAATTAAAAACGTACATGAAAAGTTTTCTCAGTTGTGTATATAATATCCCCGCGGATTATCTTATCAAAAAGAAATCAATATACAGAATTAAAGAGTACCTTAAATCTATTATACCACATTAAACCGTATTAATTTAAAAGCTCATTTAATTGGCAAATGATGTAGTGATGGTGGATTCTTGTGATTGTAGTATTCGATATGCACATCATGTATTGCATATTTATAACTTATTTAATAATTACGGACATTGCATCTTCGCTGACTAGTATTTGAAATGAACGTTAAGTACAATAATAGCTATAAACAAATCTTTTATCATACATCTATTTTACGATATATCACTAAAGCGTATAATCGTATATTTTGATTAACACTTTCTACGTATTCAACTAAACTAAATAATAAGAGCTGAAAATATCTTCTAATTACTCCTACCACGATTAAAAATGAAAATTGAGTCCAACACTTCTGTTTTAGACAATAATTCGATGAAGTCCTATTCACTGTAACCACTTAAGGAAGAACAAGGATCTTAAGCTAAACTGACGTAAATACAAGTAAATTTTACATTTTTCATAGTCGTTTCGGCTTGCGCACACCCAAAATCAACCAAACACAACCACTGATGTTCGTTTTGAATGTGCGCAAGCTCCTAAAAATCAACATCATTCTGAAGTACTTCCACATTTACCTTAGTCTTAACAAATACGAGTATGCTAATTTTTATTGATAATGTATATGCATACACAGAAATAATTTTAGTGCTTTGTACTATTTCTCAAAAGCCAATAAATTTGATCTTTATTATCAAAAATAGGTTGTACCTTGTTAGAATAAACAATGTCATAATTTACATATACCTCTTAAAATTTCATAATTTGCGAATAAAAGAAGCAAGAGGCACTTCAGAATATAAATAAACTGGGGAGAAGAATTCAGACACTTGTGTAGACCATGCACAAAATTCGTTTCTTAGCACTTTAGTGTAGGCAAAAGACCCAGTCTGTCATGTTTGGGATTGGGGTACCCACGTGTGATCAAAATAATCCGTTATTTGGATCAGACGTTTCAGTATTTTACTTGTACATTCAAAAATTATATTTATATGATCGTTGGGCCTGAAACTGATTCCAAGACTTGATCAACTTTCGCCTGAATAATTAAACGCTTCTGGATATTCCGATTTTTGTAGCTTAATCAAATTTCGTACAGAAAATAAAAAATGTATTATATTTTATCTTAAAAACCATGAATCGTAGAACTCGTAGATCTATAACCGAACGAATCACGTGTAATTCCGAGAAATAAAATGATTCGTGACTTTAGTTGTGTTTACAGGTAGATAAAATCTCGTGATAACCTAGCAGTTGACCTTTTTGTTTACCTGGAAATCGAATTTAGAGTGTGGTTTCTGGGATTTACCTAAATGTGTGCTTTTGGGTACGTAGTCGTGTAAATTTTTGTTTATTTGTTAGTTTTAATAGATGTAATTAAAATGTACACTTCTGTTACTAAAACCAAAAGTTTTTGAAGGGTTTTCAAAAACAGTGAAAGCAAGTTTTGGTGTTAAAATCGTGTAAATAAAAAGCAGTACAACGAATTTAGTTCTGGAATTTTAAACATCGCATGCATCCAAACGACGTTCTGTTGTCCCAAACCTTACTAAAATGAGGGCTCCTCTACGTACATGCAAAATAGGCATATCTTTAAATCAAGCGTAAACCTCCCGTCCAGACTGCCGTCTTGGAAGCAACCCCAGGCCAACCCAAAACCCCCCGGAAGTATGAAAAGTCCCACCAAATATCCAAAACCTCCGAAGCTTTCCATCCTCACAAAGCCCGGCCGTCGAAAACGCCCGTTTCAGCACGACGGACGCAGATGCCGTCCAGCGAAAGTGGCTAACGTCCGCACTCCGCGTCCGGTCATCACAGCACCGCGTCGAACATCTGCAGAGACCTAGTGATCACATCGTCTTTGAGGCACGATTCCATGAACTCCTCTATGGTGATGACGCCGTCCTGGTTGAGGTCCAGCTTCCGGAAGACTCGGTCGATCTGCTCGCGGGCCTTGCGGTCGTCCTCGACCTGGTGGGCGCGCCGCCCCATCAGCTCGTGCACCGCCACCACGATCTCGGACAGTTCGCCGCGGCTGATGCAACCGTCACCGTTCACGTCGTACAGTTTGAAGGTCCATCGGAGGCGTTCGTACACCGAGCCGCGGAGGAGCGTCGACAGGGTGATCAGCAGATCCTGGGGAAGAAACGATTAAAAAATGTACTCTTTGGAGGGAGTGTTAAGAGCATTAGTTTTAGTTTACTTCCCGAACGTAAGCCTGTCTGGCGTCTGTATCAATTTTTATTAGATACCTACTCTCCGAAACTACTGGATCGATTGTTGCCAAATTTTGTATGTATGTACATGGCAAAACGCCAACCAAAATTTGGCCAATCATCCCCACCAACAATTTGATGACGTCACTTCAAAGAACTCTATTTTCAAATGATTTAAATGTTATACAATAATGTACTTCTATACTTGGAACTATAAAATCAAAAGAAAAATCAAGCTAACCTGACCTGACCTGACCTGACCTGATGTGACACGCCATGACCTGATAAGCATCAGATCACCGCTCTGAGTGTGAGGAAAGTAATAAATTCTTTAAACTAATTTTTTTTTAATCTTTTTTTGTTCCTAAAGCACTGTCTGTTTTTGTTCCTACAATACTGGTTCAAAAAGCCCTAGGGACAGTTCACTGAGTCCTAGCTGGCACGTCAAAGATCGTTATGTATTCCGATTAGAACCACGCCATGAAACAATCATAAATTCACCAGAACATTGCTGAATACATTAAACGGAATTTACATTTTTAGTCTCGGTTGCGACTACTTCATCGTTCCGTTTGATGTTGACGTATTTCAGGTTTATAGTTTGGGTTGTAAAGTACATAGGACTTTATAGATCTTGCAGTTTCAGCTGCAACATTTGTCATATTATTCGGGCACATAGTTGCCTTTTCGTTTTTTTGTAATGTTCGTCTCAAAATGGAATTAATTCCGAACACTGCATTTGCCTTTATCGCCCATGTCATCACTTCCACAACACCGTCATAACAAACGATCGGAATCATTTTTAATTTCCTGAAGCCCAGACCTTCGGCAGCAAGGGAATCAATTTTATATTTGTGTCGAGTCGAATGTTTTGTAAATGAAAATTTTGCTCGCACCCTCGCGAAAATATATTGACTGATGGTTGTAGGTTAACTCGCAAGGTTACCTTCTTAAGATGTTTGTGACAGCTAAAATTAATTGAAAAAGTCAACCTGCTCATTGTAAGGCAGGTCATAAATCCTGCAATTTCATAAACAAGGAATACGGAGTTTCCAACTTGCTTTATTTTGCTCAGTTTTTTAATGTGAAAATATGTACTAACAGAGAAGTGCTAAAAACGTGCGGACCAAAACAACTGGTAATTTTATTTCGAGAATGAGTCCTTATGTTACCTGATTTCAACGCTGATGACTGTAAGAAGAGTTTTATCTAATAAGGAAAATTTTAATAAAATGTTCACAGTTGCTGCAAATTGTTCGTGCGATTTCAACCACATAATAGCCTTTGATTAATGTTTCCTGAAAATCCAATAACTTTAACAATGGAGAGCCAACCATTCACAAATGGGTCTATTCATTTGGAAGTGCTTTTAGCGACAAATAAAAACAGCTTTACTATGATTTTCATATTTCTTTATCATCGGCTAATGGTATGAATTTGCACACAATGGTAGGGATCATCGTGCAATAAACGTGGTCTTTGATTTCGAGGCGACAAATCAGTTGTGTTCACTTTAATATAATTATATTTTTATAAGTGGTAGAAATTCGTGAACTGTTTACTCATACAAATTCACAAAAAAATTGCGTATTTTTGATATGACTAATAAATGCTTTAGCATTTAATTGAATTATTACAAGTGCAGGAGTAGGTATGTTGTTTTATTACATTATTTATTCATTCGACAAAATTTTGTGATGACGTCATTCATTTTTTGGGAGAGGATAAACGGATAAATTTTGATAAAAAAAACTGTAGTACATATTTAATTGAACTACAAAAAGAGCTACAACTTAGCTTAAAGTGGTATTGCTAGAGGCTTCAGAAGCAAGGTCCAAATATAGTTTGTAAAAATTAAAAAAAAAATTTAAAACAACAGATTACGAGTATATTGAGTAAAGGTTTGTGCAAACCGTATTTCACCCAAAAAATTTAAAGAATGTTTTTTATTAAAAAAAAAAGACACGGACGGTTATCCCGCTGCCCAAATAATCCTCAAAGCCGGATTAGCGCTATGAACCCAGATATCTGATGTGTCGATACTGAAGTATTTGGAAAGAATTATTTGTAAAGAAAAATAAGTAAATGGAAAAACTGAATCTTTGTGTTGTATGTTAAGTCTGTAGGCAACGTAATTAGAGAAAAACTACATACATGCATACAATGAAAACAATTTTAAAAAAGAGAAAAGAGGGAGTGTAAAGTGTGTTTCTGATCATACGACGCAACTTCAGGTCGATTCACGCCGTTATTAAAAATTAAAACTCTGCAGGAATAAAGTTTATGTTTGTCTATTGAAAGTATTGCGTCGTAGAATTTACTTACTAGGACCCAGCAATAAACGGGACCTTAATAATATCCTAATTAGTAATAGCGCAGTAAATAAGATCTTTACATCAACGTATAACTTACTCATTATCCGACTGGTAATACGAGCAATTCGGTTAAATAAATAATAAAAGAACAATTTCGACCGTATTAAGAAATAGACCGAATTGTGGATCGATTTTTGTGTGTGCATGTGTTTAGATGACCAGATAAAAGTGTTGACTGTACTAATTTAAACTCACTGCCACGGTCACAACCGAACTATTTCAGATGACCATGCAACGTGGTACCCATCATATCGCCACCTAGATCTCCAATTTCTCGACGTACCAAAATATTTTGAAGCGTGATGGTTTAAATTTTTTAGAGAAGGTCCGTATTAGGCAATTTTTAGCCGTTTGAAACCAATTTGGCCTAATGGGGTGACGCGCGCTGATTAGGGTCGCGGGAGAGGAGAATCAATCCGTCAGCGTTCACCCCTGATTACCGCCCTGTGCGGCGCATCTGGTCGCCCTGACAAATTACCTAATTTCGTGTTGGCTAAAATTTTAATCAGGGACATTTGTCAGATCCTGCCCTACATAAAGGTGAAACATTCACATCTCCTCTTCGGATTGTAAACCAGAAAGGTCAATCCAGTTTTATAAGGTTAAAGGATATGTCTCGTCTGAATCCGTTCGATCGGCACACTGCGCCACTCTGCGGGCTTCGCTAGGTGTACTTGTTTCAATTTCAGGCTATTTTCAGGACGGATACTCACCCTGAAACTAATTGCTCCGTTGCAGTTGACATCGAAGGCTTTGAACACGTAGTGTGCATACAGGCTGGAATCTGAAACACATCATCGATTCTGTATTAGCAAGGGCGCAGACGAGCACCGGAAAAATTTATAGTTTTTGACGATTCGCCGATGCATGATTCAATCAGGCGGACGTGCCCCACTTTGCTCGACGTGAGCGGGGTCGAGATTTTTGAGAAAATTGTCCCGATAATTTTTAATGTTTCGTCTAGAGGGTTAACAAATACATTGTTTGTTGACCATTATAAGACTGCAAAAGAACTGTCAGCTAACCCTAATCGCTAATAGGAATCTTGAAAATTTTCAGGAAGTTCTGTACTCCTCTGGATCTGGCGTCCTTGCGAACAGTCGCTTTTATTAAGGAGCGTCCTATCTTACAACACATGGGAAACAATATTACGATTTCAGGAGCTGCATTTTAAAAATAGGAAATATATCACTCAGAAAACTATACTTCGAATTAACAAACTTGAGATATTTATGTCATGGTAAGTATTTCTCCGCGATTTCTTGTTTTCTGTTAATTTTGAATAAACACAAATTAAACAAAGAGTCACTTCAAACTATTATGTAGTGAAAAAGAAAGTGCAAAATGTAGTAGAAAAATCTGAATTCCAAATTCATTTCCTGTTATTTTATTGAAATTAGGTGAAAAATCGAAAAGTCGAAAAATGGAAAACATTGAAAAATCGAGAAATCGAAATTAAAAATATTCACGTATCGAAAAACCGAAAATTCGAAAAATGGAAAAATTGTAAAAATCGAAAACCCGAGAAATCAAAACATCGAAAAATTGTAAAATTGAAACATCTAGCAATCGAAACATTAAAAAAGATCAAGAAATCGAGAAATCGAAAAGCTGAAATATCGAGAAATCTAAATAGCCCAAAATCGAAAAATCGAAAATTAAAATTTGAAAAATTCAAAAATTGAAATTAAAAAAAATTGAAAAATTATAAAACGAGAAATGGGGAAATCAAAAAATCTAAAATTTAAGGAATCAAAAAATTTAAATATCAAGAAATTGAAGAATCGAAAAATTGAAAAGTAGAAGAAAAATTGAAACTCGAGAAATCGAAAAGTGGAGAAAGAATTGAAATTATGAAAAACGAAAAAGGGAGAAATTGAGAAATCGAAATATCGAAAAATTTAAAACTCGAAAAAACAAGAAATCGAAAAGTGGAACAATCAAAAATCGAAAAAATCGACTAACCGGAAAATCTAAAATTTAGAAATTTCAAAGATGTAAATATTGAAAAATCGAAAAATTGAAAAAACGTAAAACTGAAATATCGGAAAATTGGTAGACCTTTGATAAATAATTGACCATCCTTACGATAACTTTAAAACATTTGCAAGATTTCAGAGCATTCGCTTTGGCAGTTTTAAAGTTAAATTAGAAAATGTTGTCAACACTTTTACTTATTTTTTTTTTTTTTTCAAAAATATGGTAAAAATTCAACACGGATTCATAAACCGGACAGACAGCAGACAAACAGACAGACGGAAACGGGAGATCTATTTTTTCGTACTCTAGGCGTTATGAAACCTTGAGAAAACATAAAAGCTAGTCGCCCGATGGACTCGATTACAGTACCTCCTTAGCTTACGCTCGGAAAGTAAAAAAAGAGTTGTACGATTTTTAAATAGCATACACTAAAATTATTATTTTCACCAATACGCAGTGTGGCAGTGTAACATTATACTAGAGAATTGAGAAAAAAAATCTTCCCCCTGCATTCATCTACATATATTAAATAAATCAAACAACAACGAACCGAAAATCTGAAAACTGTATAAAATGTAATAATCAACAGAAATGAAGAAAAAGGAACGATTATTCCACGAGAACACATTTGAGATTAGTAAAAGTGTGTTCTCATTTTCAGCAGTTTATGTTTGAAAACAAAACGGATCGCTAATACCGAAGGATAATAAGATGTGATCGGATCGACTTGAGCAGTACCCAAAACGTAGTAAAACTCATTATTATTTTCATAGAGTACGAAATAAAGATCGGTAGAACAATTGGACCGTTCTCGATATTTTCGGAAACTTACCACCATGGGACAGCGCCTCTCGGACCCTTCGAGTGGACTTTCCTAAAGTGCTAAAATTGGCGCGCAGACGTCCCCTTAAGGGGTGTACGTGTGAAGGACATCGAAGTTATTATTGGTAAGTTTGTGAACTGGAAGATATTCTTCACACGGCAACGATTTTGCTTTAACAGCATCCAAATCATTTACGTCGTCGTCGTCGTCATTAGCCTCATTAAACAATCAGCAGAGGAGAAGATAGCGGACGACACGTTCCGACATTTTCGTGACTGTATCGCAAGGATATTTACACATCCTGAGCAAATCTAAAATAGATGTTTAGATATTTATTCCGATGACCCAGTTTGCGGTTATTACAATTTAGCGCCGACATGAAAAGTGCGTTTAGTCATTCGATAGCGTATTTACAAAAACACTATTCAGCCGCGAAAACACCACCCTTTAACCGAACCGAACCGATAAAAAGCCGTGTTTTGTTTCGGCCGTAGTTTGCATTTTAATCAACTTATCTACATCTGCTGTTCGCTATAGTTATTTTATACTAGAACAATGAAATCTTTTGTGAGAGAAAATTGTTATGTGCGCCTGAATTATACCGTTGTGGTTGGAATTGGAGTGGCATTCGCGTTTTCTTCTTGTTTCATTGCTTTTTCAAATTAATGGAAAAGCTACGGCTATAAGGAAATGTTGTATTAGGCTTGCGTGCCAAATAGATAGATCGAGTAAAACTTTTATACTAATGATGCATTAAAATTTATGAACGCAAACTGCTGTGGGCTTACTGAGCTTTCGCACGATTATCTAAATGTCGTAACAAGGATATTCGCGCCTGAAGAGATACTCCAAATGACTTACACGCCCTTGTCGTATGTGGGGTGTGACTCTAAGCAAAGCACTTGATAGCAAGAAGAACAGAAGCTTAATCAACGATGAGCGAAGCTCACTCGCTTATTATACGGAACGTTTTAAAATCTTCCCACGAACGATGCTGATAAAAAAAAGAAAAAAAGGAAGTGGTAAAAAGTGAATATCTGATTTTCAGATCCGAGGAGATTATCAGAACGACTTTCGAAAAGCGGCAACTCGAACTTGAGTACCTATGTGACGTGTTCTTTATTGACCCCGGTTGTAAAAAAGTAAGCTTCTAATTCTACCCAAATAACAAAAAAAAGTTTTCAGTCAACATAAAATTCTTATTTTGGTGGTTATGAATTATTTAATTATCTACCGAAATCTTGCCCAATGTGCATGTGAAAGTTTTCGTGTTTGTCAAACAACGAACAAGTAGATTAGATGGTTAATCATAAAGTCGATACATTTGGGAAAGTAGTGATTACTGGTTTAATTTCGGAGAAAAAAGTTGTTACTTGTCTGCTCGGAACGTATGGAGGTCGTTGATAATAATAAAGCGATTTTAAGTCGTTGAAACTAACTACTATTATTCTAATTTTGTCATACAATTATTTCTTTGATGGTTTAACTAAAACCCATTTGGTGCTCCTCATTTACATGTACAGTCACGGCCATAGAAAACTGGACCCCTAGGTTTCACATACACTTCCAAAGTTTGTTTGACAAATCAAAGAATTTTTACAAAGTATTTTTTTTCAAACCAGCATCCCAACAAATCCGGTAAAACCGGTGACATAAATAATACTCCCGTAATATATTGTTACAAAATAAACCCATACGCCGCCCCGGTACGACGCCTATGGGTCTTCTAGTATGTATGCGGCGTTCACTAATTTAGAATAAATCGAGAAATTGATAAATCAAAAACTGAAAAATGGAAAAATTAAAAAATCAAAAATTTTTAAAATCGAAAATTTGAAAAACCGAAAAATTGAAATCCGAAAAGTCGAAAGATCGAGTAATCGAAACCTCAGTAACTAGAAAAATTTAGATATACAAAAAAACTGAAAAATGCAGAAATTGAAAAGTCCCCAAAATTCAAATGCTGAAAAATGGAGAAATAGAAAAGTCGAAAAATTCTAAAAATCGAATAAAAAACTGAAAAACCAAGAATTTAAAAATTCGAAAAATTGAAAAACACAAATATCGAAGAACTAAAAAATTGAAGAATTGAAAAGTCGAAAAATCTAAAATCCAAAATTAAAAATAATCGCAAAAATTGAAAAATCGCAAAAATGAAGAATCGAAAAACTGAAAAATCTAGAAATTGGAAAATTCGAAAACTGAAATGAAGAAAAATTGGAAAATCGACAAATTGAAAAATCGAAACATCGAAAAATTCGAAAACTGAAACATTGAGAAATAAATACATCGAAAGATCGAGAAATCAAAAAGTCAAGAAGTCGAAAAATCCAAAAAATTGAGAAATAAATAGACGAAAAGTTAAAAACTGATAAATTGAAAAACTCTGAACTAAAACTAAATCAAAAATGGAAAAATCAAAAAATCGACAACCTGAAAATCGAAACATTGAAATTCCTCGAAAGGTCGAGAAATAGAGAAATAGAAAAATCCAAAAATTACAAATTTTGAAACATCAAAGCTAAAAAATAGAAAAATCGAAATAATGAAAAATCCAAAAACTGAAATATCGAAAAATTAAAAAATTAAAAAAAAATGAAGAATTCAAAAACTGAAGTTTTGAAAAACAAAAAGTCGTGAAATCGAAAAATGGGAAAATAAAAAAAATCAATTAACCGAAAAATTGAAATATCGAAAAATGCAAAATTGAAACTTCGAAAATTTGAAGGATCGAAAAATTGAAAAATCCCTGCACTGAAATATCGAAAAATTGAAAATCGAGAAATTGAAAAATAAAAAAATAAAAAATCTGAAACCCGAAATATCGAAAACTTAAGACGGATAATTTTGGATTAAAAATTTACCATGCTTTCGATAACCTTAAATCGTTTGCAAGATTTCAAAGCATTCGATTTTACAATTTTCAAATTACATTATAAAAAGTTGTTTCAGTTTTTATTTTTTTTTTTTCCAAAAATCTGGTTGCCTAAGTTAAAAACTCTACACGAATTCAGAAACTATAAACGGAGGAGTACGTTATTTTATTTAATTTACATAACATTTACTATTGTAAAATTTGGATGACGTCATTACATTGCTGGTGAGGAGCAGCAGACAAATTTTGGTTAGTGTTTATCATCTACATGATATTCCTAACCTACATGCAAGATTTGACAACGATTGGTCCGGTAGTGTCGATGAATATTTGTCTTATAAAAATCCGGACAAACAGGCAACAGACAGTAAAAACTTAACAACTAAAACTTTGTTCTGTCAAAGTGGTCCAGTTTTCTATGGCGGCGATTGTACGTGATTTTCCTATCTTCTATAAAGTGATTTTCGGGACTCGGCCAACAAAAAATGTTAAATAAATAAAATACGAGACTGCGTGGACGGTGCAGAAGGCCATATTGTGTGGACTTTATTGAGAGTCCATTCCCTACATAACCACTATCGCAGCACATGTTGAATTTATAGCAGGATTTAAACAGCTCATGAGATATTTGCGGTCACTGCAGATCCAGGAGTCAGCTTACCATGTGTCATTGCCACACAAACACCCTCCGATCCGCTTCTAAATCCAAAGTGGTGATCAGTTGGTCAGTGTTCTTTGTGCTGCCTTAATGCAGTCTAGACTAATTATTTTCTGTATTTCTGAGGATTTCCTTAGTGGTTTATTATTACTGAACAAAGACTTGGTAGCGCTTAGGGCGGCGTTAAACCAAGCAGCAAATGCAGGAACTTCTTGATGCCTTTGTTGCTCCTGCATAAATTTGCAATTTCAGCTAGTGTTCAGCTGTCTGCTTATTGTTGCGGTAACTAAGCGTAAATCGCGTATGAACTAAACTAAAGAATGATTTCTGTTAAGTTTTTGATACTTACTTCCATGAGGAAAAAATTTCGAGTAAATTTCTTTAAAGCTATCTTCGTGGACAACACCCTCCGGGCATTCCTGCAACAGAAAAAAGGTACATGTTGGTTTGTGAAAATCCAGAATCGTCAATACGTAAACCGTTATCTCTTCGTCGCCCCTTCAGATAAAATTAATCGAGATACGACAACGCCGAACCTCACTATTTCCCGAATTAAAAAAGAAATTAATGGAAACTCAAATTAATACGTTCGCTTTCAGACGGGGTTTTAATGAAAGTTTTACGCCCAACACAAAAATAATTGGATTAATCCGACCATCGATGGCAACGCAAGAGGGAAGATTGCTTTTAATATTTCAGGGAGATCCGCACAAATAAATAAAGCCGCTATTTTCGGAGTAAATTCGCAAAGTTCCGCCATAATCAATGAATATTTGGGAGACGTTCCAACGGAATGGAACAAGTAGCGGCGCTCGATCTAAACGACCCGGATTAGACTTGCAAATGTTCAACCCCTTTAACGGACATAGGCGTTTTTGGCGGATCGATTTTTTGGGAGATGGCTTTATGTTTATCCGATAATAGAAACGAATGAAATTTTAAAGCCGGGAAATTTCCCCGCAATAACAGTATCGTTGCAGTAAATCGACGAAACATTGTAACTTTACATCTTAATTAATGTGAAATGCGGATAATTTGAATTTCAAGTGCTCGGAGTAAGAATAACGTAAAAGAAAAGTTGGTACACGCTAGCATTCCATTATGCCAATGTTATGCCAATTAGGCATTTAGTGGCGCATTTACATGCTGGAACATGAAAGAAATTAAACGCCGAAATTGCGAAGATTAGACACGTTTAGATTTATGGATTTGTGAATGAGTTTGGCACCGTATCGGTCGGTTAATACCGTGTTATTGTGCATACTAAAAGGGTGATTTATGGTGTTTATGCGTCATTGTCGGTGGCGGCTAGAGCAAACAGAGCACTATTCGATGAAGTTTTCGATCAGAACTTACATCTATGTATATGATACTTGGTTTAATATTCAGGCCTGCGAAAAAAGCGACACTTCTAGACACAATTTTAGACACCAAGTTGAATTTTGAATCAAGTCTTAGTAAACTAAAATTAACAGAAAATATTGAAGATAAGTAGGAACTATCAAGCAGGGAATTTCTTAAAGATGAAACTTCCCTCGCCTCTGGAGTAAGTACAATGAAACATCCAGTTTTTTCGAAAAATTACAAAATTTGATATACAAAAGTATTTTTAGGGCGAAAATAAATGCGTTTCTACTTTTTTTTTTAATATGGATAATGGAAAGGGATTTTGTATGTGCACAAGTATAAACTCATCATATTTTGCATATTTTAAATATATAGGATCAACATTTCAACGTTAAATTGCAGGATGCAATCGGTCCAGTAGTTCAAAAGATTATCGACACAAACGGGGACAGACGGCTGACGGCAGACAGACAGACGGATACGAGAGACCTCTGTTTTCGTATTCTAAGGGTCAAGAAACGTCGAGAAAACATAAAAGTAGCAACGGACTCGATTACAATACTTCCTTAGCTTACACCCGAGAAATAAAAAACCGCAAAGGACAAAAATAGAAAACATTGTTCCATTAAATCGATAAGTTATTAGATAACTTCCCGAAACAAGGGCTCACGAGCCACCATTGTGTGTTACCTTCTTAGAGATGCCTGTCTGAATGTTTAATCGATTGTCACAATTTCTAGAATTTGCATAAAATCGTTAGTTTTCTTTTTTCAGTAGCGATATTTCTAAAAATAAAGAATCCGATTCGACGATCAACCCAACTTAAATAGATTCACTACCACATATATGGTCTCAGTTTATGAAGCTGTTGTTCGTATTAGCTGAATCAGTTATTTCATCTCTAACTTTGGACAATGTGTCGAATTTGTTCCGGTCTGATTGTCGTGAAATATTGGGAAAATCGATGTAGCCGACGATGCATTCTCTGAAATTCTGTTCAGGCGAAACGTACGTTTCACTGCAGTCACATTTTCAGGGGGTTTTAAATTAAACGCTCATCGTGAATTTTTTTAGCTCAAATAACATTTTAGTGGGAAATAATCGTCTAGTTTGGAAATAAAAAGCTTACTTTGTGCTGGTGGTTTCAAAACATCGCTTAGAGTCTGCAATAAGACGAGATATTTAGCTTTCTTTAACGGTATCTCGCCGAAAATAAAGCCACTTTTGCTATGTCAGGGGAATCATATGAGATTTATACGGTTTTGAAGAGAGCAGAAATACATTTCGTTTCATTGCTTACTTATATTTACGACTTTATAAAAGCGATATTTCTTCCTGTCGCAGGGAAATAAGGGGGGAGTCTATAGAAAATTCATATTATAACCGCACTTTTGTTTTAAATTTAGCAGAAGTACGATGGTTGTTTTTCATTGCATCATGCTGTGTGGTAGAAAAAAGGATCAGTTTATTTATATGGTTTAAAAATTCAAAACTCACTAATTCAGTTTCATCTCATTTAATTTGGTCTCATCAGAGAAATACAGAGTTTTCATTGTAGCATGTAGTATCCAATGAGAATTTTTCTCATTCGATTAGAAACACGAAAATTATCCATGTATTTCATGGCAGTGATAATTATGAGAAAAATATTCTAAAAACCTATCGAAAAGAATCCATCTCTAGCAGTTTGTACATAAATAAGTGCTAAGAGTTTTCAACAAAGTATAAATTCTAAATGTGCAACACAACTCGCATTTGTGTTTGGTTTGGCACGTTATCCCTTTTTTTGTGTGGTTACATTTTTCTAAAAATCCGTTTGTTTACAGCATGAAAAAATTGCAGAAAACTCACACAATCGAAAATTATTAATAGGTGGATGCATGGGCGGCGAACAGGTGGGTGCATGGAGGGTCAAGAGTGTATAATAATTTTCTCCGAAATTGTTTTTTTTTTTTAATAACGTTGGAAATACCCTAATTCGACTGTTCAATATTGTTTCACACTAAATATCTCACAGTAAGTATATTATTTTGTACCAGTCTCTGTATGATTCGGCTCTCGATATAGAACATTTATATCTATTATTACTGTTATTATTACATTCAACATCCACAGAAAAAATAAACTTCCTCGCTCCCGTCAAGGCGTGTACCAGTTGATGATAAATATTTATCGTAGAATGCACTTTTACACAGTCTGACTCAATAACACCTATATAGACCACCTGTCACTTTGAATATGTCATTTCTAATTTACAAATCTACAACGTAAATAAATGTTTGTGCTATATTTCACATCATTTTATGTAACATTAATGTTTATCGTTCAATGAATGAAATCACGGTACGTTTTACAGCCCACAGATAAAAATAAGCTAAAGGCCACTGCAATTTAAGAAAAATATACGTCATCAAAATATCAAAAATAAAATTATGTTTAAAATTTACTGCACGTTAAAGTCGTCAGAAAATTACCAAAGTTTATTAAATCTTTAAACTGGTTGGTGTCCTATAATTTCAATATTATTAAATATAAACGTAATAAAGTGAAATTTAAAAGTAAAATTAAGGGAATTAGTAATAATTAAAACACCACTAAGTAATCCATTCAATCCGTTTTGTCAGTGCATCATAAATTTTTCACATGGCTAAGAATAAACGTGAAATACTTTTTCCTTTATCGATCTTGTAAGTATTTTTCAGGTGCGATTAGATTATTGAAAATACTCGACACAAATTGCACGTAACAAATTTACGTCAGCAGATTTCCCTATTGTTAAGCCCAAACGTCACCACTGTATCAGACTGATAACCGGCTACTTTTGTTATCAGACTCTTTCCTAAATGTTTACCCAGCTTGGCTAAACTGTGCCAGGGAGGGTTGAGTTATGTCTGAATCTCCTTATGCCTAAAGGATATTCGTACAAAAGCAGATTGCCGATAAGGCTCTGGTGCTTGCCACGTTCATTTAGTTTCTTATTTTTGGATTTTTCTCGCTTAGTTGTAACAACAATCGGCCCTGTAGTTTCGAAGATTATCTGTCTAACAAACATTCTATTTCTTCGTACTCTAGGGGGTCATGAAAATTTGAGAAAGAAAGTTGTAAAACCATCAAAAAACTTGAAAAGCATGCAAACAAAAAATGTGGTGTCATGATTGATCTGAAATTAGAATTTCTGCATATGCATATCACATTAAAACTAGAAAACGTGCTAATCTTAAACATATTTTAAAGTGTTTGTACTCTTATTATACTGTTACAGAATTATGATTTTCCTTACGAATAAGTACGTTCTTTGAGACTTATAAAAATTTAATATTCTGTGCTGTTTTTCGGTAGTTTAAGAGCGATGACAGGTATAATATTCCTTCCGTTCGGTTCCGGTCTGCGTTCGAAATGTATGCATACTTTTAAAGAAAAATCCGAAAATGTCAGCGTGTGCGTGCTTCGTCGCCGTTTTGGCTCGCATTCGACGGAACGAAAATATATTAAATCCTCGCTTTGTAAATTATTCCGTGATAAGGTTTTAAGGCTCGCGTTATATCTCGATCGGGGTTAGTTTTTAGCGACCGCCGTCGAGTATCAGAGATTAATTCCACCGAACACCACCCTAAGGGTTGCTATATTTTATTGTAGTTGTTATGTTCCTACGTTAATTAATTCAGGGTGTTCTCGTGCGCGTTCGCCTGTATAACCCTCCCATAAAACAGCAGCATAAATGTTTATACCGTGTATTTTCAGTACCACCCCCGTATATGGCGTTTTTATTCCAATTGTATTGAATTTACGTCCGTATTGTCGAATGGATACGCCCAATTCTAACACGAGCTATTTCGAAATTTATTTTCGGAAAATGTCGCTGTATCAGGCGCCTCTTTATGGACACTACTCGTGTCGGACAAATTAATCAGATCCGAGCACCAGCTTTTGGCGTTTATTTTTCACAATTTATTGATGTTGGGTTGTTTTGGTTTTTTGCAACATTTGATTCCGTCTGTTACAGAGTTTCATAAAAAAAATCACAATACCTTGTACAAAATATGCCCTTTAATCGTCCGGGTGCTATATTTGG